GAAGCCGAAGGAAATTTTGGAGCCAAAACGCGGATCGCGGGGATATACCCGCGATCCGCGTGTAACGTAAATAAAAAAAGTTGTTCTCAAAAACGCAGGGAAGACGTGATTTTCAAACGCTACGGCGGCATTTTCAAAAATGTCGCCGCACATTTAAGCTGTCCCAAACGGGGCCTAAATATTGGGTCGGGGCACAGTGAACAATATAGACAACTTCTTCTTTCTTTTTTTTTATTTTATTTTATTTTTTTTTTAATCCAAAGTTGTAGCCACATCTAAGTGAGTGGTGAGAAAATATAGATTTCAAATGTAACTGTATAAAAATACTGCAAAATGTAATTTAACTAGATAGGCAAAACTACGGTGTGGTGTCGTACCGCCGCCCCAAACGGACCCTTAGTATTAGGGCTATCAAATAAGCTCATCGCTCACGAATAGCTTGCGTTCAACTTGTTAAACGGCTCGTGTTCGAGTCAATATCCTTAAAGAATGAGTCTAGCACGAACAAACTTTTAAGCTCAAAATATAAGCGAGCCGAATATGAACCAACATTTGTTCGTTCATGTTCGACTCGATTTGCTCGAGAATATATATATATATATATATATAAGGTTGATTGCCGATCAACTTCATAGTTTGACTGAGGGGCGAACCCCCTTCCAAAAAGGTGTGCAATTCGATCTTACGTAGGGATCGAACCCCCGATTTGAGGGACTTACACCAAAAGTCGCAACCAATGAGTCAGACTAAGGGGCGCGCACACACACACACACACACACACACACACACACACACACACACACACACACACACACACATATATATATATATATATCCTTAAGATTTAATTTTATAAATTATAGTTAATTAAAATAAAAAAAATATATATAAAGTTATTCACTTTTATTAAAATAAACTAAAAATATCTCTCGCATGTATAGTAAAAAGATGTGTGCGCTCCTCCGCCCTAAGAGAAAAATTTGCTTACATAAGACGTACGCAACGCTGCGTACATAATGGAGGTTATATTAACGTTATATCTGTAGTATATCTGCGGTATATCGTCTGTAACCTCGATGTAATCTCCATATAACCTACATGTAACTTACTTGAACTTACAAATAACTTTCGCGCTTCTGTTTTCACATATCCGTAGGTTACATGTAGGTTACATGGAGGTTACAGGGGATATAACACAAATATAATGCCGATATAACGCGAATATAACCTCCATTATGTACACAGCGCTGCGTACGTACGCAAATTTTTTCCCCACCCTAAACCTATTCCTGTCTTCTTGAGAGCGAGTGAGTATTTCCTTTCTTCTCAAGGGCAATGAGGCAGGAGTGAAGGAGTGTGTGAAAGTTGAAAGTTGAGTTGTATTCTCTCTCATTGACCCTTCGTTTACAGTTGGCACTTATTATTGATGCTCTCATGACTCATATCTCTTCTATTGGTCTTGAAACAGAAACTAGGGTTTGTCTTTCTTCCTATTTTTGAATATATTCCTCTCTTAGACTCTTCTCTCTATTTTTCAATATATTTTTTGTTTCTTTTGGATTTTGGATGATTTTATAAACGAGTGTTGGAAAAAACTTGATATGGTTGCCTTTCGAAATTGGGTCATGCTTTCTCACTTTTTTTGTATTAGATTTTTGAATGGGAAGAAAAAATTATGATAGGAAAATTTTGCAAAACATTTTCAAGGCTTTGATGATTTTTCACTTGCAATCTTTGTATATTGTAATTCTTTATTGTTTGTTATCATTTTCTTTTGCAATCTTTGTATATTTTCATTTATTTATGGCTTATTCTATTCTACAGCTTGAAAGGAATCACAAACACCATGAAATTATTTTCCATTGTACAAGAAAAAAAGACCTGGGCACCATATTCATTGGGTCATTGTATAAGCCATGGCTTATCAGTACGTCCCTGCAAAGTTACGAATTACCCAAGTACAATGAAGGTCGGTATCACTTGAATCACTAGTGCTTTGGATTTTTTGTTGTTTGGTTTCAATGTTTTTCGAGCAACTTTGGAAAGTAGGGTTATCCTTTTTGGAGGTCAAATGGTAGCATAAGTTCTTTTATAGTGATAATCATATGAGTTTTGGTGATTTATTAAGCTACTATGAGAGAAGGGAAGCACATCAACATAAAGATGTTGATTCTCCTCTTATTTGTTGTCAAAAATCAATCAACTATATCATATGCAAAAAATCTTATGATTTTTTTTTCTTGCAGATCCATTAATTTCTAGTTCAAAAAGTTTCAAGTATTTAAGTTGCAATGAGACAGTATCTATCCTAAAGTGATGTTGTTAAAATTAGTATGGATTTACTAGTTTAACTAAGCTGGTTGGGAGGTGGGGTCTTATTTTATCAGTTTGACTCTCAAGGGTCTCTCTAGCAAGGAATCATAGCAAACTCATCTGATCTTTTTTAAAGTCAGGCTAATTAACCAGGTAGAAAATGGGCGAGTTAGTCTAAATCATTTACTTTCTTCCACTTGAACATAGAAAAAAAAAAGTTGTCGGTTTTTTATTCCTTAGCAATGACATTTGATTGTTAAATTTTAATTTGTGCATTGTCCTCTACCTCAAGTGAATCCCATTGACTGAAGCATTTTGACATTTTGGTTTGGGGCATTTCGATACTTACCACCCATTCTTATGTTGCTGTAGTAACATATTGATTGCTCATATGGTTATACATATAAATTAGGTGGTAGATATGTAATTCTCTCTTTTGTTTTATTTTAATTTGCATTGAGTAGACAATATATCTAAATTACTTAATAACTACTGACCCTTAATAATTATATAATATTATGAGGTATTAGCTATTTTGAGCTTAGCTACCTGATTTTGGACCTCTATGTTATTGAAAAGTTTAATGGTGTTAGGCAACTTGTTTGTTTATTTTAAAATAATGTTTAAGAGTTTAAAATAGTAAGACAAAGTTACATATAGATTGTTTTGTGCATTGTTTTTAAGAGCAAAGTATTGTTGTCTATATTTGATTTACACTCATTGTGTTGGATTTTTGCTTCATAGAATTTATGGGTTGCATGATTGGCATTTCAATTGTTATTTGGATCCTAACAACGATGTCATGGATGTAGAATTGATGTTGCATGATTGACATTGCAAAGTATTGTTGTCTCTATTTGATTTAAATCCTTTTATAGAGTAAGTGAGTTATTAGAAATACTTTGGTCAACTAGTTAATGTATTAAGTTTCTACATTTAGTGTTACATCAAAAGTTTAATTGCCTTTATTTTAAAGTGCCACTCATTCCCAACTTTGGTTTAATATAGTGTGCAAACATGTCCGCAATGGATCTTTCAGAATCTGAATCATCT